TGAAACATCGAACTTTGTTGCTGATGTTGGAATTGAGAGAACCCATGAGAGAAAGTGTCCCATTCCTGAGATCCTCCACGACTCGATGACCCTCCACCGGCATCCGCTGCAGGTGCCCACTGGTACTCGAACGGTTCAGGGAGCTCGGTTGCTTGAGTGGTACGCACCTCTTCGAACGTAGGCAAAGGCCTGCGTTTGCTCCTTCGTGGGGGCTCAACCGGGGGCACAATGGCTGCATCATCACGGAATGAGGGTCGTGCCGGGGCAGGAACGGGAGGATAGGCCACGACATCCCTCCTTTGCTCTCTGGTGCAACTCAGGAGGTTATTCATAAGTCGGGTCAACCAAGTAGTCTTCCGCTCATCCATGGTTGGAGCACTTTCGAGAGTGTACTTCGCGTGTTCCAAACCATCAACCTAAGGAAAGCACAAAATATATCAAATTAACTAAACCTTAAAATAAATATATTTTAGAATGAGGGAGATTAGGATGACTTACCAGCGAACCCATCACAGCACCTTGCTTTGACACCCATCTCAGGGTGAACTTCCGATACCACTGCATGTACCCATCGTGGTAGCCCATCGGTCTCGTCTCCCGGCATCCCTTGCACCACCCATTGGGATCGATTCTCCCAGATGTTGATGTAGAATCCATGCTTTAGCTGCCAGTTTGCATTGTTTCGGAGGTCCATAGCATGTAGCTCCCTGAAACCTGCTGGCGGGTCTTGTGGAATTGGTTGCTCCATTCGATATTGCCTCAGGGATCGATCGGGTAGGTGCCATTCCACAATGTGCCAGCAGATCAATGGCACCTTGCACAACCACGTCTCGTGATCCAGAGGGTGCCTAAGATGATGCAGCTCAACCACTTCACGTGGATATGGATCCCATATAACCTATATTCATTCAAAAATTCGGAATTAACGACCATTTACTTTGATAAAATTGAACTTGTTCAAATATGGACAAAACATGATTACCTGATTCCACCATGGTTTATCTAACTCAGAACGATAAAACAGTAACGAATGCTCAGGTTGATGGTCATTCGTATTTGCTCCTATCCACCTTGTAAGTAAAAGTACGGAATCAATTTAATTGAAATATCGCTAAGCATATAAGTACGGAATAAATTGGTCTAAGTACGGAATAAATTCAATTTAAATCTAGTTAAGCATGTAATCAAAATTAAATTGGGCTAAGTACGGAATAAATTCAATTTAAATCTAGCTCAAGCATGTAATAAAATTTAAATTGGGCTAAGTACGGAATAAATTCAATTTAAATCTAGCTCAAGCATGTAATAAAATTTAAATTGGGCTAAGTACGAAATAAACTTACTTGACACCGTAGGGGAGATTTTGCAGAAGGTTGAGCTCATCATCGTTTCTCCGGTATGGACGTGGGTCGAGAGGTGCGAACATTGGAAGATGCTCCCATACCCACAGTTGAACGATGAACATCGCAACACCAGCTTGCTTTGCCCCAACCTTCGAGCAAGTACACAGCTCCCGGTATACGCCCGCTAGCACGGCCGATCCCCAACTCTTCTCTCCAATTGCATCCCAGTCACCGGTGAGCAATGGCAACCATATGCCTTGAATCCACCGGTTGGACTTGTCGGGGAACAAAAATCCACCCACCAAACCGATGAGGTAGATGCGGGCGTAGCGCTCGACTTGTTCTTCCGGTGTCTCGTCATTGATTTCCACCTCTTGCTGGATGTGAGATACCAGCCACGGGACCGACACTCGCCCCGCATTCAACGGTGGATGCCCCCGTCCTTGATTTGGTGTGGTGGTCGGCATGTCGAAGCCCAAACGATCACGGATGAGCGGCCCCCAACCTCCTCCGGGTTTGGTCGTGGAACCAATGATGGCATCTCCAGATATAGGAAGCCCGGTGAGGATCGCCACGTCTTTGAGGGTGATCGTCATTTCCCCCTCCGGAAGGTGGAATGTATGGGTTTCGGGACGCCATCGTTCCGCCATTGCCGTAAGCAGATCGTTGTCGATCTCGATCCGCAAGAAATGGCGCAACATTCCCAAACCGGTCCTCGCTATATAGGGCTCCAACCTTGGATGCCAAGCGGGCAAGTTATTGGTCCCTTTATGAACCACGGGAACAAGAGATTCCTAAAAAAAATAGGAAAAACATCAATTTATTAGATTAAATAAAGAAAAATAAAACATTAGAAAATAATAAAATAAAGCAAGTCAGTTCATCAAATTACCGGATTGTTATCCCAAATGGCACGGGAGCGATGAGCTTCTTGATCGGTTAAGAGACTCGCATCCCTTGGGCCATAATGGATATACAATCGAGGATCGTATATCTCGGCACCCATCTATAAAAAAGTAATGAAATCACAGATTGTTTTGATAAAAAAAAAATCAAATTGTTTCGATTAAAAAAAATCATAAACCAAAAACCTACACGAAGAGCCTCTTCGTCCATTATTGGCGGAAGCCGGACAGAGGTTCGACGGGTTTAGGTTTGTAAGGGACGGGAACTTAGCGGGACGGGGGCTTTAGGGTCACACTCTAGTAATTCTTTCTGATGTGGAAGATCGGACTTAGCCGCAACCACAGAGCATACTTAGAACGAGACTAGAGCGGATAAATTGAGGGAGAAAGAAGTGAAATGTTTGTGGTGTGAGTTGAAAGTGAAAGGGGAAGGGTTATTTATAGTTGGGGGAAGGGGGGAAGGGATCTGCCGAGAATTAAATTCTCCCAGCCTTCACCGCGTCCGTCAGAAACGGTGAAGGCACCGCGTTTCTCGAACACGATGATGAGGCGCGGATCGAGCGACGTGGCTCAGCGTGAGGTGTCGGATCTGGAAAGAAAACCACGATCCGTGCCTCATCGCATCCAACGGACACGGTGAACGCGCCAGCGACGCGGATCGCTGACGCAAACAAACACGGGTATTCACCGTGTTTGTCTAACGCGGTGAATACCCCGCGTTAGTCCACGTCAGCGCCTTCACCGTGGATGTCTAAAACGGTGAAGGCTTCACCGTTTTTGTTTAAAACGGTGAGGTGTTCACCGTTCTTAACAAACGCGGTGAACCCTTCACCGTTTTAGTTTAAAACGGTGAATACATCACCGTTTTTGTTTAAAACGGTGAAGTATTCACCGTGTTCGTCAAACGCGGTGATGACCTTCACCGCTTTTGTCTAAAACGGTGATGCTCAAACATGTGTACTTTTGGAATTTTTTTATAACTTATGTATTTTGGGAATTTTTTTTAAGAACTAGTGTACTTTGGGATTTTTTCCTCTTTCGTGGATGTGTCTCTAGTGACAATAGTGTAAGATTGTGAATTTGCATGAGTGGAAGTTGCAGAAGGCTACAATAATGCCTTCAATCGAGTGAGTTCTTCAACTGTGAATCCAGTGAAAGTAAGTGAACGAGGATGACGTTGGCTAACAGGACTAGTTGAACTGTAGTAGTTAGCTCCTCCTGAATGGTTTCAGCTGCGGGAGGCTTTTCACTTTTTTCAGCTGTGCTAGTTGCCAAGATCTATGATATAATATCCTCTTCGTCGTTCCAATCTAACATAGCACTAGAAGAAGCTTGACGCGGTGGGGATGCGTGAGCTGGGTACCAAATCGGGAGCAGCGACATGTCATCATCACATCTCTTCTCCACCACCTCTCTGCTTGTGGTCTTCTTCCTCTTGGCAGCAAAAGCAATTTCCAGGCCTCGTGGCAATTGTTCATGAACTTGAGGGTCAGGAACGTTACGGGCTAAGATCAGTTGACTAAGCGCATCTCAACCATCCAACTTCATTTAATTTGAACCATGAACTACTAATTTTTCGACTCAATGTCGAGTCCAATTAAAAATAAATATATGGGTTATAGGTATAATATTCCCCTCTACTATGACGTTTTATCAAACATGCCCCTCTACTATTATTTAGATCAAACATGCCCCTGTACTTTGACAAAATTATCAAACATGCCCTTCTGCTAAAATTTCCATTGAAAAAATCATCAATCATGGTTGAACCGAGATTTAGACGACCCGACATCGGCAAATGGGAGGGAAATATCAGTTTTGTCTCCGTTTTATTTCTCCAGGTGTCTTCAAAGTGAAATTATTTGAATTATTTGGCTATTCAAAAGAATCAAAAAAATTCTAAAGTAAAATTATTAGGGATATTTTAGACATTTGTGTCGCCCAAACCAAAGTTCAGCGTTGGTTAACGGTTTTTGAATGAAATTTTTAACAAAAGTGCATGTTTGATAAATTTTACAAAGTACAGGGCATGTTTGATGTAAAAATTAGTAAAGGGGTATGTTTGATAAAACATCGTAGTAAAGAGGCATATTATACCTATAACCCTAAACTATATATGGTTATTACTGATTAGAAAGTAATCATTTTCAATATAGGATTTGAAGGCGTAAAATTTAAGCGAGTTCCTGTTTGTATTCTCTATCTAGAGTTTTTTTTTTCACACGGGCTAGAATTTTCAACAATTATACATGGAATATTTGGCTAGGTATCTACAAATAGGTCTAAATTTTGTATGTGTAATTAAAACACCCTCGAATAAATGAGTATCCATATCCAACTCATACACATTTAAATTATGAAAGTAAATATCTATACCCTACCAAACTCATCTACAAACTTCCAAACCTCATATATACGTCACCCATACCCTACCCATAATCAATGGGTCTACTTAGGTTTAGGTAAATATAATTTATTAGTCAAAAATTTTTAAATTGGATGTTGACCGCTATATATCTCTTCTCAGTCAATATCATATTGTCAAGTCAAAATCACTAACAAAACTGCTAACAAAATATTAATTTTAGGCTAATAATACTAACAAAACACTATAACGCATCACATGATACATGCCCATAGGCCATTTAATATTTTCTCATTATGTAAAATATTAAAAATAACCATAATTAGTATGCTATTTTTATGTATTCTAATCACACGTATAAACGGGTCCATACACGACTCACAAACAGTCTATAGAATTAATAATTGAACCATTATCAAGTGTGATCTTTTGCCTCTGTACAACTCTCTTTTGTTTGGTAATAATATATTTAACAATAATTGAAGCCTCCCATTGCCTTCCTTCCCGTCCCGCCGGTGACCGTCGGCCAGCAGTTCCTCCGCCTTCCGCCGACCTCCCATCTTCCTTTCTATCGCGCAGGTGACCGCCGGCTAGTAGTTCCTCTGCCTTTCGCCAGCCTCTCATCTTCCTTCTTCTGTGGCCTTCTTGCGTGGCCTGGGAAATAGAGGTGGCCTGGGAAAAATTTTCCCCTAATTTCCTCGCGCAGGGGGGGGGGGGGGTGTATATGTCTGTGTTTCGTCATCGGCGAATTTTCCGGTGGTGGTGGAGAGGGGTTGCGAGGTTTTTCGGCGACTGTGTCTGTTTTTTTATGTTTGTCAAACGTTTTTGTAATGTTTGTAAGTATGTTTTGTGATTTTGTATCAATTCTGTTTGTATCGTTTATCATTCTAGTTTATCATTTTTATCTATTATGTTTGTAATGGTTATATGACTGATTTGTATACATTGTAATTTGTAATGTTTGTTTATCTAGTTTGTATACTTTGTATTCTTTGATTTGTAGTACAAGTTTACTGTTTTGTATTGTAAGTAGTAGCATTTTGTAATGTTAGTATGTTTTGTAATTTTTGTCGGTCTAGTTTGTATTGTTTTTATAGTTCGTATGTTTCGTAATGTTTGTAAATATGTTTGTACGTTTTATCGTTCTAGCTTGTATAGTTTGTATGTTTGTATGGTTTTACTGTTTGTAAGTCCAGTTTGTATACTTCGTAATTTCCATAATACCCAAACTACCTCTATCATTAATTAAAAAGCCCTTCCCACTTTTTAACCGTCAGATTGGTCTGTATAGATCTAAGGGCTGGAAAGGGTTTAGTCAAGTGACTAAGCACCCCCTTAATCACAAAATCCGGTCCCGGAAAGTGACGTGTGCTATGTTCCAATTTCCAAATGAGTCACAGAATCCGTTATGATAAAATCTCTCATTAAAAATCCTCATTCACGCTATGAATTGAATTGTGTTAGTATTAACACTATGCTAATAAAAACACCCCAACCTTGGCCCAAGATAAGTTCGCCGCCTAGGATCACTTACTTTACTTTACGTAGTGGAAAATGAAAATTTCTTTCAGTTTCATGATCGGACTATGAATCCTTTGTTTCTCAGTGAAAAGCCCGTATTCTTTGTGTATATAAAAAGAGATGGACGGCCTCGCAAATTATATTGCTCAGCTCAAAGTAAAGAATTGCTCAGGAAGAATGTCATGTTTCAAGGTGAAGTCGAACAACCTGTTCCTCTACGGTACCAGCCAGGGTACAATCGTAGTCCTCGACGCCGGCAACGATCTCACCAGTCCGACACCCTGCTTCCGCGACTGGAAACCTCTTGCCACCGTTACATGCCCAGTTAACGCCGCCGACGACAGTACCATTATTCCCTTAGCATGCTGTACAAGACCAAAACAGCTCTACTACGGGGAGCTGCAATTGTTCGGGGTCGTGATCGAAGGCCGGACGTTGAGAAAACTACAGACCGATCTGTACAATTCCCAGCTGTTGGTGAACCGGGAAGGCTACCAGGTTCAGTACTACAACAGCGGCTCGAGTTCCAAGGCTCTGGTGGTGGGGACCAGCAAGCTCTCCAAGCTGAACGACATGTTCGGCTGGTGGGAGTACGGGGTGACGCCGCCGCCGATCAAGACGGTGTGGAACCGTTACGATCGGAGCAACGGGGAAGTGGTGGTCGATTTCGAGAAGCTGGGGAGGCGATTGGTGGAGCGGACTCAGGAGAAGTGGCGTGTTGAATCGCTATTGGTGCAGAAGGAGGAGGTTCTTAAGGAGAAGGACGTGTTGATTGAAGGGATGAGGAAGGAGATTGAGGGGTTGAAAGCGAGTTTAGGTGAGTTGGAGGAGATTAGGGGTCGTTTGGTGACTAAAGAGAAACAAGTGGACTTTTTGAAGACTACCATTACTGCATTGATCTCTAGAAATAAGCTATTTTCTGATTTCGAATAACTTTGTACTGTCTTTATTTGGTCTTTATTTTGTACTCTGTCATTTGATTATCGTAAATATTTAGTTTTGCATAGATTTCCAGTGACTATTGTATTTTGGAAATTTCTTATAAAATTTTGTGACACGCTAAAACACAACACCAAACTGCGATCAAGTGCAATCGCAGTCTGGGAATGCAGTAAGTGGCAAGCTCTATTTGTCAACCCGAGGCCTAGATCTATTGCCTACTCCGTAATTATTTATTATCTAGCAAACTAAGTCGAGTGATTGTGGTTTTAACTAAAAGCAGTAAGAAAGTAGGAAAATGGTTCAAAATCTATAGCAAAGGGAGAGTCACTCGGGAATGAGTCCCCCTAGCTCCTTAGTTAGGTCGAGATTGTAATTACCCTGGGTTGACTAACTGTTGATTAAACTGCGGAAGATCCGACAGTAGCTTGGAATCTCTTAAGCTGACCAAGCCCTCTCATGCAGGCTAACCGGCAGGCGACTAACCTTCACCGTGATGTACTACTAAGGCTATAAACACAGAACTCCACTACTGGAATTGGGTTCCAGTACAAAGTAGTAAATCGATTAACTCTCGTATAACCAATCTACCACTACCGATCGATGAAGCTCTAACAACCTAATCAAATTCTATCTATCTCAGGTTGCAGCAGAAATCAAGAAAAGATTATCAGACTTCAATTGACTCAATAAATCATGCATCAATCGATTAAAATCAATCGGTATAACAATCCCAAGTCATTACAATCAAGATCTCTAACACATGGAACTAGGGTTCTTTATACCCAAGTGAGAGAGGGTCTACTCCATAGAGAGAGAGGGAAACAGAAATCAGAGTAGTCATACTCATAAAGATGAGGAAAATCTGCTCTAGGATGATGATCTCCAAGCTCGATTGATGAAACCCAGCTCCAAAATCACTTCTAGGATGTGTTTTTCGCACTTTCTCTCTCTAGGGCTCTGTTTTTTGCTCAAAAACTCGATTCCCCCTTCAAAAGTCCCGAAATTGGGTTAAAACCCAGTTCTGCCCGATCACACGTCCAGGCCACATGGCCGTGTGAAATCCCCAGCTGCCCGTGTGGAAGTGCAAAACGCCGCGTTTCACTTAAGTGGCTTCAGGTACGCTACACGGCCAAAACAAAACGGCCGTGTGGATTTCCAGTCTAGCCGTGTGAGCTCCCTGGACTTTCCACACGGCCTGAAGGGGTCCCATACACTGCCAGTGTGGCTTGCTCGCGTCATGAAATTCCACACCCCCAAGTCACAAGACCGTGTGGAATTTAGGTCTGCCCGTGTGAAATTTCTAGCTTTTTTTCAAACGCCCCAACTTCGTCCAATCGACCCCGAACTCGTGCCCAAACCTTCTTTCTCGTACTAGGATCTGAAATATCACAAACAAGAACAACCTAGCATGAAATCCCTAAAACACGAGAGATGAGACTCAAACGGTATAGGAATGGTGGATAAAAACATGTGTTTATATCAAGTCATCAAATTCCCCCACACTTAACCGTTTGCTTAAAGCAAACCTTACTCAAACCAATGCAACTCTCCAGGACACTATAGCAACATGCACCCCCGATCGTCGGCAGAGGATTTTCTAGATCATTTAGCAACTTACGAGGTCAACTGGTCTCTTAAGACGCCCTCTATCTCTCTCAATGCGAGTACTAGACTCAAGCCAGGATCATGAAAAGCAGTGGAACTAAGACAGTCAATTCATGGATAAGGAGACTCACACAATTCAACAACCAATGACTCATTGTATCGGGTGCTCTTTCATTTCATTTCACTTGGTTGAACCCATTCTTCTTACTATTTGTTTCTTTTCTTTCATTTTTTTTCTTTTCTGGGGTTCCAACTGCAGTTTGTATGCGCGGTCTGCCCTTATTAGGTGAGGAAGAGCAATTTCTGTACATCTGTCACTCGCCGGAGTACTTCTTTTAACTCCTATTCCTCACTTCATGTGGAGGGTCAATGAAATTAAGGGGGGTCGGAAGCTCTATCCGTGCCCTTAAAAACACATCCTCAAGTAGGCAAACCGTTCAACGGGTGAAAATTTTACTTGTACTAGAGACAACTTAGCTTCACCTTGTAGGCCTACCCCACCAAGGATCACTAAAATCTCTTCCAAAATCCGATTTTGTGCAACGAACGGTGCCGCACACGTTGGGCTTGCACCATGTCTTCGAATTTCAAATTTTTGACATGGAGGACCAACTAATTTTTTATTTCACACTTGAGCACCCTTTTTCGATACACGAGTCCACAACACAACATAAGAGGAGTCATCAATACCACATGAATCAACGGTCCTAAATCCACTAGTTCACAAAATCAACTGGCATAGCAAAGAGACAGATAGGAAAAATCTTATACTTCAACATCCTCCATAGTGCTACAACTACCTCCCTAGGTTGCATATCACCATAAAGATTGTCAATTTAAAGCATACTGAGCAGGATTTTGCAGGGAACAGTACTTGGAGCCCTCAATTCATCAAATTGGACAGTGGACTAGGCTCCACGTACACAAACTCATCTAGCAATCAAAAATAGATAACCACCCCTTCCCCCCACACATAAGCACGACATTGCCCTCAATGGAGCAGAGGGAAAGATAAGGGGATACGATATTACCGGGAATACGGACTATCAGGGGGCTGGAAATGGGACCAGTCAGCAGGGCTAGAGTCATCAAAACACACTGGGTGATAGAAAACATAGTTCCAAGTGGACAAACCGAAAACAAACGAAAGGAAAACAAACCTTGGTGGTGTTGCCTCCCCACAAGTGCTTCTTTACCGTCTTTTAGCTGGACGCCAGTAGGGTGGATGCTTAGAGAGGTGTAGGAACAGGTGCCTCCAAGAGCGGATCCACATCGCTCTTGAGGTACAACTTCAGATGGTGGTCATGCACATGACGGGTGTGACCACCAGCACTCGTCGACTTAACCTGGCCATCAGGCATGATGCAAGCGAGTGAATACTCGGATGGCCAAGGAGGTCGAGGCTCAGGAGGCAGGACCAGCTCATAGTGGTCTCCGACTTTCTTTTGAGCAGGCTTAGCTACCTGCAGTTCCGGCCGCCATTCCTCCTTGATCTTTTCTTTTGGTAACGGAGTGGACGGGAGTGGCGGTGAAAAATTGGGAGGGGGATCCTGCAAAATGGGAAGCACAGAAGGATACACGACAGACTCGTGCTCCTGATGAGAAACAGCATGCAAAGGCGATGAAGCAGGGAGAGTATTAGTAATGGAAAATGTTATTCGCTCCTCGCCATCCCTCAATACTAAGGTCCCATCATGTACATCGATGAGGGCCTTGGTGGTGGCCAAGAAAGGCCTTCCTAGTATAAGGGGCACTTATGTGTCTTCATTGATGTCCAAGACAACAAAATTCACAGGATAAAAGAATCTGCCAACCTTAACCATAAGGTCTTCCACTATGCCCCTAGGATGAACTATAGATCGGTCAGCTAGTTGAATACTCATCCTAGTTGCACTGGGTTCACCTAGGCCTAGTTTCTTGAACAATTTATATGGTATCACATTAATATTAGCACCTAGATCCGCCAATGAACTCTCTACATGCAATTTACCTATAGAGCACGGGATAGTAAAACTACCTGGGTCCTTTTACTTCTGCGGAAGCTTGTTCTTCTGAATGGCCGAGCACTCCTCGCTGAGCTCCATAGTGGCTAGCTCGCTCAGCCTCCGCTTCTTCGAGAGAAGCTCCTTCAGGAACTTCGCATACTTAGGCATTTGAGATAGTGCCTCCATGAAGGGCACTTGAACATGCAGCTTCCTAAGCATGGACGAGAAGTTACCAAACTCTGCCTCTAACCTGTCTTTGTGAGTCCTGGTGGGAAAAGGGACCTTAGTGACTCACTCCTACTGTCACTCTAGAAAATGGCCAAGTGCAACCACTTCCTACAACGTAGTATAGCGTGTTTGGGTTTTAATGTCAACCTGGGTCCTAGATGTGATGACTACTCAGCGAATTCGTATTATTTAGCGGTGAAACTTTAGTGCAGGTTCAAACAAGTAAAACAAGCAAAGCAATTAAACGGTTGTTTTCAAGTCGAGAGAGGTCACCCGTATATGGTTCCCCCTAGACTGCAGTTAAGCCGGATTGCAATTTACCAAGTTCAGTTTTAATGATAGTTATACTGCAGGAGGTTCTTAAACAGTCTGAAGTCTCGACTAAAGGTCTCCAGACCCTCTCAATCTGAGTCCCCAGCGGGCGACTAACCTCCACCGGAGTAAACAGATTGAGGCCTTAACGAACAAAACCTCCACTACCGAAGTAACTTCGGTACAGAATAGTGAATTGGCTCCTCGACTAAAGTCGCCAATTCACTACCTTCAATTAAGGGTGCTCTATCAACCTAGGCAGATATTCTCTTTCTAGGTTAAAGCAGAAACAACAGGAATTTGATCAGGATTCAAGTCATTCAATCATTCAAGCCTCAATTGAATATAATCAAATCATAAAATCTATACTTCGGTTCATACAATCAGACCTAACATACAAATCTAGGGTTCTCCATACCCAGATGAATGGGAAAACTACTCCATGGAGAGAGAAGCAAAAGCATATTCAGATGCGGAAACCATACTGTGAAGGATGGGTTTCTGCTCCTGGTCGTCAATCGGCACTTCTCCAAGCTCAAGCCGGGCTCCAATGGTGATGAAGATCAAGCTAGGGCACTTGGGAACTCCGGTTCGTCGCTTCCTCTCTCTAGGAATTGCTCTGTCTCTCTAAAACTCGGAACCCCTTCTCCTTTGATTCAAATCTGCCTAAAAGGCCGACCCTGGGCAAAACACGGTCGAGGGCACGGCCGTGCTTTGGTTTTGCCCGCCCATGCTTTACCCCGTGTTAAAAATACGCCTGCGTCGGCCAAAACACTATCATGCTTAAATATGGACACGGTCGTGTTTTGCTTTAGATGTGCCCGTGTTTTTACTGCCGAACCTGTTCCCCTATATTCAATGCTTCGTTTCTCCCTCGTCCGGACTCCGAATCAGTCACCGTTTGATCTCAGACGCTCGTAGTCTCATCCTCTTTCTTTTTATGACAAGCTTCCATGATTCTTTGTCCATAAAGTGAGGTAGAAATCCATTCTTCTTCAGGTCATGCCCGAGTTTCTTCTCCCTAATCGCCAATTGATCTCTGATTGATTTGAAACTTGTGCCTATGCTTCACTTTATGTGCTAGGACCTGAAATGTGACAAAGGAACACAACCTAGCGTAAAATAGGCCAAATACGCGATAATTAAAGCTCAAACGATCAAGAAACAAAGGGGAAAACATGTGCAAATATCGAGTCATCAAATCCCCCCACACTTAACCGTTTGCTTGTCCCCAAGCAAACCTAACTCAAACCAATACAGCTCTCCATACCTCTATAGCAACATACAACCCCGATCGTCGGTAGAGGATTTCCTAGATCATATAGCAGCTTACGAGGTCAACTGGTCTTCTAAGACGTTTCCTATCTCTCTCAATGCGAGTACTAGACTCAAGCCAGGATCATGAGAAGAAGTAGAAGTAAGACAGTCAGTTCATGGATAAAGGGACTCACACCATTAACAACCAAGGACTCGTTGTACCGGGGTGCTCTTTCACTTCATTTCAGCGTTGGAACCCCTTTTTCACTTTCATTTTACTTTTTTTTTCTTTTTCATTCACTTGACGGGGGTTCCAACTGCAGTCTCTTACACGGTCGACCCTTATTAGTCGAGCAAGAGCAATTTCTGTACATCTGGCGCTCGCCAGAGTACTTCTTTTAACTCCTTTTCCTCAACTCATGTGGAGGGTCAATGAAATTAAGGGGGGTCGGAAGCTCTATCCGTGCCCTTAGAAACACATCCTCAAGTAGGCAAATCGTTCAACGGGTGGAAGTTTTACTTGTACTAGAGACAACTTAGCTTCACCTTGTAGGAGTACTCCACTAAGGATCACTAAAATCTCTTCCAAAACCCGATTTGGTGCAATGAACGGTGCCGCACACGTTTGGCTTACCCCATGTTTAAGATTTTGATGATTTTGACATGGAGGACCAACTGCATTTTTCATTTTCCACATGAGCACCCTGTTCGATACACGAGTCCATAACACAATCCACATAGAGTCACCATTATCACATGAATTCAACGGTCCTAGCTCCACTAATTCACAAAATCAACTGGCACAGTAGATAGCTAAATAGGAAAAATCTTATACTTCAACATCCTTCATAGTGCTACACTACCTCCCTAGGTTGCACATTACTATAGAGACTGTCAATTCAAAGCATACTGAGCAGGCAATTTGCAAGGAAACACGTACTTGGAGCCCTCAAATTTAAAAATTTGGACAGTGGACTAGGCTCCAAGCACACAAACAGATCTAATGCAGTCAAAAGAGAAACATCCCCCCACACTTAAGATCGACATTGCCCTCAATGGAGAAGAGGGAAGGATAAAGGGGAACGATGTCACCGGTGTGCACGGACTACATGAGACTGGAAGCGGACCAGTCTGAGTGAAGAGGACTGGAGAGGGGACCAATCAGGGACAAAGCACAGCTAAAGGGAACAGAAGAACTCAAACACAATCCGTTAGGTCCAATTGTCAGCCCAATAATACATCATCCAAAACCAAACCAGTTTACAATCCGACCCAAAACAAAAGGAATATACGAAAACCGTGGTGGGGTTGCCTCTCCACAAGCGCTTCTTTACCGTCTTTTAGATGGACGCCCATGGTGGATACTCAGCGGGGTGCAGGAACATGTGCCTCCAAGAGCGGATCCACATCGCTCTTGAGGTACAGCTTTAGATTGCGGTCATGCACCAGACGGGTGCGACCACCAGCATTGGTCAGGTCGACCTGGCCATCCGGGAAGATGCAGGCGAGTGAGTACTCGGATGGCCAGGGTGGTCGTGGTGCAGGAGGTGGAACCAGCTCATAGTGGTCTCCACCTTTCCTCCGTGCAGGCTTAGCCACCTGCTGCTTCGGCCGCCACTCCTCTTTGATCCTTTTGTTTGGTGGTGGGGTTGAAGGGAGTGGCGGCGCAGGCGTGAGAGGGGGATCCTGCAAAACGAGAAGCACAGGGGGGTACACGACAAGCTCGTGTACCTGGTGAGAAATAACATGCATAGGTTTGACAGCAGGCATATCACAATGATCAGGGTCAGCCACAGAAAAAGTAGCATGTTCATTTCCAGCACGCAAGATCAGTTTACCACTATGCACATCAATAAGTGCCTTGGCGGTGGCAAGAAATAGTGTACCCAAAATCAAAGGCACATCCACATCCTCATTTATATCCAGAACAACAAAATCAACAGGATATGTGAATGCGCCTACTTTAAAAAGCAGATCCTCTATGATACCCCTAGGATGCACAATAGAGCGATCAGCTAACTGAATGCTCATCCTAGCAGGGCTAAGTTCACCAAGGTCTAACTTTTTAAACAGATTGTATGGCATGACATTTATGCTAGCGCCTAGGTCCGCCAAGGACTTCCCTACATGAATGCTGCCAATATTAAGAGGGATAGTGAAACTCCCTGGGTCCTTGCGCTTTTCGGGCAGCTTGTTCTGCAAGATGGCAGAACACTCCTCACTCAGCATCACTATCGAAAGATCCCCAAGTTTCTTCTTGTTGCTGAGGAGATCCTTCATGAACTTGGCGTACTTGGGCATCTTCGACAGTGCCTTCATGAAAGGTATGCTGACATCGAGCTGCTTCAACATTGCCATGAACTTGGCAAACTTAGTCTCCAGCTTATCTTTATGTAGTCGAGTGGGGAAGGGAAGCTGGGGTACATGCTCCTTAACCACTGGTTGTGGCTTGGGAGCAGGGGCTTCCTTCTCCACCCTCACTTCTATATCATCGGCTGGAAGTGTTGAAGCAGGCAGTTGCTCTTCCTCACTAGCCTGGGCAGGTACCGCCGATGTGGACTTGCCACTCCTGGTGGTGATGGCATTCAGCTGCTGGTGCGGCTCCCGTGGATTGGGGATGGTAGTGGCAGGTAGAGTTTCTGGGGCTCGGGTATTAATTTGGCGAGCCATGCTATCCATCTGGTTCTGTAAATCTTGCAAAACGGCACCTAGGTTCCTCTGGCCTGCCTCCAGTGAGGCTATGCTTTGGTCCATCCTAGTGAAAGTTGTCTGGGTGGTAGTCATGAATGCCTCTAGAATGTTTTTCTGCTCCGTCATCTGATTATCTGGAACCGGGGCTGCTGCTGGCTCGGCATACTGACGCTGAGGCTGCTGCTGAGGGACTGGCCCCTGTCTAGCTTGGAAAGGCTGCCTCTGCTGGAAACCACCTGCTGGTGCTGGGAAACCAGGTGGCTTAGTGGTGTTGTTATTCCAAGCGAAGTTAAGATGCTGGCGCCACCCCTCATTGTATGTATTGCTGTAGGGGTCAAAGCGCCGAGCATTGGCGATGAAGTCCAACTGCTCTTGGGGAGTAGTTGACTCCCGCATAGCCTGGAAGTCTTCCACCAGATGATTTGAGCTCTCACACCACTGACATTGAGCTACTGGAGGTGTAGCCAAACCTCTGCCCGAAATAAGACTATTGGGCTGCTTCAATGTCTGCACCAACTCGGCCACCTGCTGCTCGAGCCCGGACCTGGCCTCCATGGCGTGCACACTACGGTCACTGGAATTCCGGCCTCTGGTGCCCTGCCCCCAGGAATGATCTCTGGAAGCCAGTGTACTGATCATCTGGTTCATTTTGGGTGGGGTCTTAGTAAGAATATCCCCTCCTGGGCATAGAGACTCAATCACCCTCTGGCTGTCCGGAGAGAGAGCACTGTAGAAGTTCCCCACGGTGAATGCATCACTGAAGCCATGATGGGGACACTGCCAGAAAAATCCCATGTACTGCTCCCATGCATCACGAAGTGACTCGTCTGGCTCTTGGCGGAAGTGAGTGATCTCCCGCTGGATCTCTATGGTCTTCGATGTCGAGTAGTACCTGTGCACGAAATTGTCGGCCAGATCATCCCAAGAAGTGATGGACAATGGGGGATGGGTCTCCAACCACCTCTTAGATTTCCCCGCTAAAGAATGGGGTAAGAGGTGAAGGCGGATTGCGTCATCAGGGAAACAGTTTAGCTTGAACCCGTTCGTCAGCTGCAGAAAACGGGAAAGATGCACCCTTGCCTCCTCATCCTTCAAGCCATGGAACTGGATAGAGGATGTAATGAGTTGAATCCAACATGGCTTGATCTCGAAGTTGTTCGCTGGAATAGGCGGGTAGAGGATGACCGGGCGGATGTCAGCAATCCGTGGAGTGTAGTAGTACTCCAAGGTGGGACCCGGCGGCGGTGGATGATGATGAACCCCATCTTCCTGGGGTATGGGGTTGTTCCCCAAGATCTGATTCGCCGGGCGAACCTGGTGAGGATTCCCCTGGTGTGGATTGTGATCTCCTTCCATCTCGTACTCGTCCTCGGACTCGCTGCTCAAATGGCTGTATATGCGCTCCTCCGTAGCCAGTCTAGCTCGCTGTTGTCTCCTGAGTTGGCGATAGGTGCATTCAAGCTCCGGATTCAACGGCAGTAAACCTCCCGACTGGCTACGGGTCATGCACTACCTGCACACTGTCAAGCAACCAAACCCGTGAAGGCACAAGTGTGACAAAGCAAAAAATGCAAAAAGAAAAGCTAAATTAACAGAATTCACGTTTCTTCAACAACCTAGTCGTCCCCGGCAACGGCGCCAAAAACTTGACTAAAGCGTAGTATAGCGGGTTTGGGTTTTAATGTCAACCCGGGTCCTAGATGTGATGACTACTATGCGAATTCTTATTATTTAGCGGTGAAACTTTAGTGCAGGTTCAAACAAGTAAAACAAGCAAAGCAATTAAACGGTTGTTTTCAAGTCGAGAGAGGTCACCCGGATATGGTTCCCCCCTAGACTGTAGTTAAGCCGGATTACAATTTACCAAGTTCAGTTTTAATGATAGTTATACCGCGGGAGGTTCTTAAACAGTCTGAAGTCTCCACTAAAGGTCTCCAGACCCTCTCAATCTGAGTCTCCAGCGGGCGACTAACCTCCACCGGAGTAAATAGATTGAGGCCCTAACGAACAAAACCTCCACTACCGAAGTAACTTCGGTACAGAATAGTGAATTGGCTCCTCGACTAAAGTCGCCAATTCAATACCTTCAATTAAGGGTGCTCTATCAACCTAGGCAGATATTTTCTTTCTAGGTGAAAGCAGAAACAACAGGAATTTGATCAGGATTCAAGTCATTCAATCATTCAAGCCTCAATTGAATATAATCAAATCATAAAATATGTACTTGGGTTCATACAATCAGACCTAACATACAAATATAGGGTTCTCCATACCTAGATGAATGGGAAAACTACTCCATGGAGAGAGAAGCAAAAGCAGATTCAGATGCGGAAACCATACTGTGAAGGATGGGTTTCTGCTCCTGGTCGTCAATTGGCACTTCTCCAAGCTCAAGCCGGGCTCCAATAGTGATGAAGATCAAACTAGGGCACTTGGGAACTCTGGTTTGTTGCTTTCTCTCTCTAGGAATCGCTCTATCTCTCTAAAACTCGGAACCCCTTCTCCTTTGGCTCAAATCTGCCTAAAAGGCCGACCCTGGGCAAAACACGGTCGAGGGCACGGTCGTGCTTTGGTTTTGCCCGCCCGTGATTTTCCCGTGTTAAAAACACGCCCGCGTCGGCCAAAACACGGTCGTGCCTAAATATGGACACGACCGTGTTTTGCTTTAGGCGCGCCGTGTTTTTACCGCCTAACTTGTTCCCCCTATATTCAATGCTTCGTTTCTCTCTCGTTCGGACTCTGAATCAGTCGCCGTTTGATTCCAGACACTCGTAGTCTCATCCTCTTTCTTTTCATGACAATATTCCATGATTCTTTATCCATAAAGTGAGTTAGAAATCCATTCTTCTTCTGGTCATGCCCGAGTTTCTTCTCCCTAATCGCCAATTGATCTCTGATTGACTTGAAACTTGCGCCTATGCTTCCCTTTATGTGTTAGGACCTGAAATGTGACAAAGGAACACAACCTAGCGTAAAATAGGCCAAAGATGCGATAATTAAAGCTCAAACGATCAAGAAACAAAGGGGAAAACATGTGCAAATATCGAGTCATCACTTAGGCTTATATTCAACCACTACTGGTTGTGGCTTTTTGGTACTTGATCCTCTGGCTCCTTTTCTATCACCAGGTCTTCTTCGGATTCTGGGTCACCTTCTTAGCACTCTTCTGCGGTGCATCCACAGTCATATTCCCACTTCTCAACATAATAGTGTGCAACCCCTCCTTATGATTTTTGGGATTCGGCAGGGGTTGGCCAGGAAGTGTGCCAGCCGGTGTGGAAGCAAGGGCATCTGCTAGGTGCCCGATCTTGGTGTCCATATCCTGTAGGAGTGCCTGCTGGTTTCTCTGGCCAGCTTCAATCTCCATGAATTTACCTACAGCCACTTCCATGAATTGCTCTAATTTATTGAACTTTTGGGTACTAGTGCTGGCCAAGGTAGTCACTAAGATCCCTTAGTTCTGACACGGGATCCCCCGGTGCTGGGACTGATGGAGGTGCACCAGGCTGCTGGTACTGCTATTGTGGGGGGCTGTTGAAAAGCATGTCCTTGTCTGGACTGATAAAGTGGTAGTTGTGGCTGCATCTGGCCTGGGCGAGGCTGGTATGACTGCCTCTAGTGTGAAAAACTAGTTGCAGAAGCTTGGAAGACAGGTGGCTTCGGATTGCTGTTGCCACTCCAGGAGAAATTTGGATGCTGGCGCCATCCCTCATTGTAGGTGTTATTGTATGGGTCGTTGCGCCGTACATTGTTGATGTAGTTCACCTGCTCCTAGGGTGTACTGGACTCACGCATGGCCTGACAGTCCTCTACAGTATGATGGGCGCTCTCGCACCACTGGCAACGCATTGTCGGCTGCTGCCCTGTCCCCGAAACCATCTCATTCCGATTGATGGCTGAGACCAGTTTAGACACAACCTGCACCAAATCAGAAGATGGGTGCCCACAGCATGTACACCTCGGCTTGGTGCTCGCCTCGACCTCCTAGTAGTGCCCCAATCATACCCTTTCTCTGCCATATCCTTAAAGAGCTGATTCAACTGCGGCGGCGTCTTGGTTAGCATGTTCCCGCCAGAAACCGAGTCAATCAGCTGCTTGTCTTCTGGGAAGAGGGCGTGGTAGAAAGTGCCCACCTTGAAAGCGTCATTGAAACCATGATTGGGACACCTCAGGAAGAGACTGGTGTATCTATCCCATGCGTCCCAGATGTTCTCATCTCAATCCTGGGCAAAGTGGGTGATCTGCTTCTGCAAGTCTGCCATTTTTTACGGAGGATGATAGTGGGTTAGGAACTTGCCGCCAGGTTGGCGAACGTGGTAATCGATCCGGGAGGCCTAGTATCCAGCCACTCCTTGGATTTCCCCTCCAGAGTAAATGGGAAGTACCTCAGCTGGATGACATCGGTTGGGACCCCATTTATCTTGATCCCATCGATGAGCTCATGGAACCGCCTCAGGTGTGATCGGGGGCACTCTCCCTCCTTGCCACGGAATACCACTGAGCCGCGCAGCATTGTGATGATAGATGTACTCACCTCAAAGTTGTTGGCAGCAACTTGAGGGTGTTGGATGGGAGACCTCATGTCTGCGGCGCGGGCTGTCCAGTAATAGCCCATGGTTTGCCCCTCGGGAATGAGCACATCATTGTTCTCAGGTTCACCCATTTCTTCCTCCTCGGTGATGTCCAGTTGCTCCACAGCTTCCTCCGCAGCCACTCGTGCCTTTAGAGTCCGCTTGAGGTTACGATGGGTTCGTTCAATTTCCTGGTCCAATGGCAGTAGATCTCTAGACTGGCTACAGGTCATGCACTACCTGCACGCAATCAGCAAAAGCAACCCGTGAAGGAAGACAGGTGGAAGAGAGATAATGTAGTAAAGAAAAATCTAGAGTAACAAACTTTCATGTTTCCACGATAATCTAGAGGATCCCCGGCAACGGCGCCATAAATTTGACACGCTAAAACACAACACCAAACTGCGACCAAGTGCAATCGCAGTTTGGGAATGCACTAAGTGGCAAGCTCTATTTGTCAACCCGGGGCCTAGATCTACTGCCTACTCCGTGATTATTTATTATCTAACAGACTAAGTCGAGTGATTGTGGTTTTAACTAAAAGCCGTAAGAAAGCAGGAAATGGTTCAAAGTTCTTTAGCAAAGGAAGAGTCACTCGGGAATGAGTCCCCCTAGCTCCTTAGTTAGGTCGAGGTTGTAATTACCCTGGGTTGATTAACTGTTGATTAAACTGCGGAAGATCAGACAGTAGCTTGGAATCTCTTAAGCTGACCAAGCCCTCTCAGGCTGGCTAACTGGCAGGCGACTAACCTTCATCGGGATATACTGGTGAGGCTATAAGCACAGAACTCCACTACTGGAATTGTGTTCCAGTACAATAAGTAAATCGATTAACTCTCGTATAACCAATATACCACTACCGATTGATGAAGCTCTAACAACCTAATCAGATTCTATCTATCCCAAGTTGCAGCAAAAATCAAGAAAAGATGATCAGACTTCAATTGACTCAATAAATCATGCATCAATCGATTAAAATCCATCAGTATAACAATCCCAAGTCATTACAATCAAGATCCCAAACACATGGAACTAGGGTTCTTCATACCCAAGTGAGAGAGGGTTCTACTCCATAAAGAGAGAGAGAGAGGAAAACAGAAATCAGAATAGTCATACTCATAAAGATGAGGAAAATCTTATCTGGGATGATGATCTCCAAACTCGATTGATGAAACCCAGCTCCAAAATCACTTCTAGGATGTGTTCTTCGCACTTTCTCTCTCTAGGGCTCTGCTTTTTGCTCAAAAACTCGATTCCCCCTTCAAAAGACCCGAAATTGGGTTAAAACCCAGTTCTGCCCGATCACACGGCCGTGTGAAATCCCCAGCTGCCCGTGTGGAAGTGCAAAATGTCGTTTTTCACTTAAGTTGCTTCAGGTACGCTACACGATCAAAACCACACGGTCGGGTGGATTTCCAGTCTGGCCGTGTGAGCTCCCTAGACTTTCCACACGGCCACAAGGGGTCCCATACACGGCCAGTGTGGCTTGCCCGCGTCATGGAATTCCACACGGCCAAGTCACACGGCCGTGTGGAATTTAGGTATGCCCGTGTGGAATTTCCAGATTTTCGTCAAATGCCCCAACTTCGTCCAATCGACCCCGAACTCGTGCCCAAACCTTCTTTCACGTACTAGGACCTTAAATATCACAAACAAGAACAACCTGGCCTGAAATCCGCCTAAAACACGAGAGATGAGACTCAAACGGTACAGGAAAGGTGAATAAAAACATGTGTATATATCAAGTCATCACTTTGCTCCTTTAAAAATACCATAGTGTAAGGTCCGTAATTTTTGCGACAAATTGAAAAATTATGTAAAATAAACATATGTCTAATTTGATGCAAGAAATTACCTTATTTGAAGACAAAAGTAGATAAGATAATCAGGCGCAGAGTTGTTATCACAATTCGATGCAAGAAATTACCTCATTTGATTTTTGTTATTATATAACACACTGATCGTTGAGGTCTGAAGCGAACTATCACATATTGCTAAGATTCCAAGTGATCTATGTCAGAATGCAGAGGTCTCAAAAGATCGGTGTGCTATCTGTCATAGATTCTTGAGGTCTTAAAGCAAATC